ATATATAATAAAGTACCTGACTGAACTGTGAGACAGAGAGCTCTGAGAAGTCTAGAGAACACAGAATAATATGAACATAAGTGCATTGATACAAAAAATATCACTGATGTGCTCTTTATTCAGCACTCAGCACTGTTGTTTTATATCAGTGAGTATTTAAAAACTGTAATGGGGGGCTGGGGATTTAGCTCAGCGGCAAAAGCGCCTGCCTGGCAAGCGCAAGGTCGTCAGTTCCATTCCCGGTACTGGAGAAAAAAACCAAAAAAAATAAAAAAATAAAAAAATAAAAACTGTAACGGAGTTTCAGGATTTAGTCTCAATTGATATGTCCAATCCTACTTTTGAATTAAGATCTTAAAACTGTCAATCAAGAATTTTTTCAATTGGTTGCTGTTAGGTGTTGCTGTGTGAAGAATTCAGTCAAAAATTTTAAACTCCAGTGAGACGTGGTGCACGCATGTAACCCCAACACCCTGGGAGGCTGGGGCAGGAGGATCACAAGTTCAAGCCCAACCTGGGCAACTCAATACATAGTGACACTCTCTCTCAAAATAAAATACTAAAAAAAAATAATAAAAAAATTAAAAATAGGGCTAGCAAGTTATCTCAGTTAGAAAGCTCTAGGTTCAACCCACTGTACTGAAGAGAAGTTTTTTTTTTTAACTACAAACTTTTTTTAATTCAAAATCTCAGGCCACCTTAATACAATGAGCAAAGCACTTTTTGGCCCGTACACCGTCAAAAAAATTCCTGAAATGGAAAAGGTCACACATGGGTGAATTGGTCACAGTTCTCCATGCCGATAGGCAACTTAGTGTGTTCATGTGCCCAGCTTCTGAAGCTAAGTTTATCCCTTTTTTGTGGCTCAATAAAATATGAATATTTTCATAGGTGTGCTTAGACATAGTTGACTCTCTAGGTCCTTGACTGCAAGCAGTTGAAGCTTTACCTAAGGATACAGGACATAAATAAGATAACTTTAAAAGTGCAGTGGAGCAAACTAATTGCTATCAGAGAGACACAACACAAGGTGTTTGAGGGTACCAAGAAAAACATCTCAATACAGTGTATGTCAAATGTTCTCTGAACTGATAATTGGAGAGGGGAGACAATTTAGCAGCCAGAATGGCCTGCAAGTAGTATGATGAGAAAAGCGAGATGGAATTCAGTCAGAGATAGAAAATACAGGGCACTAGCAAGAAAGAGCAAGAGACAGAACGAGGTAGGCAGGAGAGGGAGCAAGAGAAAAGAGGACACAAGAGATTAGAGCAAAACACCGTTCTGCTGTCGCTCTCACCCGTTCATAGCTCCCTCTCTTCTGTTGTTGACACAGCTCTCAAACCCCAACATCTGGACCTGCTTACTTGCTACCCAGTACTGGTTCCAGTACCCTCTTTCCATGGTTGAAGTTCTTGGATCCTGGTCTTCACAGTGTCCTGGTTAATGGGGAAGCACCCCACCCCTTTCACAGGAATCCTGTCATGCTCCTCCCCCTCCTGCTCAGCATCTTTCTCCTTCCTCTCTCACCCCTCTCTGCCACCAAGGATCTGGTCAACCTGGCCTGGGTTCTTCCTGAAACCATCCTGTGCCATCCCCTCCCACTCCCCAGCCTCCACACCCTGGGCCTTTACTGCTTCATGAAGTCACAGCACAGATGTTTAACTTCATTGCCATCTGTTTTTTCTTCAATTTCTCCAGTCACTTCTATCCAAAGCTGTAGTTTCCCTATTTCAGGTAATGATCCCCTTCTCTCTTGATTAACCAATTAAAAACAAAAATGTTGGGCTATGTCCTCTTTTCTCCTGCACATTTTCCAAATCCTCATCCTTTCCCTCTTTAGTCCTTGAGTCACTGGTTGTCAGAACCCTGGTATTTAAACTATTCCCATAAGGACCTCACACATACCACAATGACTACAGCCCTTGCTGAATGCCAGTTGAGCCTGAGCACATTCATAGTAACAGTCTATACAGAAGTTTTCCACATCCCCATAATGCCCCATGTATCAGAACTGGATTCCTGTGGTTGGGTTTCAGAGATCCTCAGTCTGTCCCAAGTCCTTCTCTCTCCTCCCTGCTCCTACAGTCTGGTCACTGCTCAATTCTGCAAGCACAAGTGTTGGTGGTCACGATCTCAGGGTGACATGGCTCCTCCTCATCTTTCAAATTCAGCATATCCCTGCAGCTCAGTTTCCCAACTTCTCACTGATTTGTTTGACTATTTTAACTTGAATGCACAATCTACTCAGTGTTGTTTCATACATCTGTATTTATTTTACTACTATTTAATACTGTTGCTTTCTCTTACTTCACATTTTTCCACCCTGTCTTCACACACTACATTACAATGGGGGTCATGACTTCTAGTTTCATGTTTTGTTTTACTCCCATTTCAAGTATGTATGAAGAATACCATACTCAAGAGTTACTGAATAAAAAGTTAGAGAGTTCAACAGGAAACAACTGGAATACATTTTCAGAAATAGTTATGTGAAAGGCGCTGGAGGAAATAGAGCTGTGCTGAATGCAAACTTACCAGAGAAGACACTAGGTATCTTGGAAAGAAAGCTTTTGACAGTACGGATAGGAATTCCATTTTTTTCATCTTGCATGCGTGCTATGACGTCTTCCATCTAAATGATAAAGTAATGAAAAACTTTAGAAAATTGAACTTTTGGGAAAAAAATAGTTCTCATAACAAAGTTGTACTCAGTTTTCACAACTAAGCATTATACCATTTTCTTCCTTTCTAGAATTTGTCACATTAATATTTCAAGTTTGATTGACAGAAGATGGGAAAAAGAGCAAGGAAAAATGCCATTTGGGAGTTCATTAATCTGTTAATCAGAATTTTGTGCTCTGAGTATTTACTCTTTCCTGGTTTTTCACTCTTTGGTTATAAAAATTGAAATAAAAGAGTGTTTAGTTTTGAAATTGTCAGGAACTACTGTCATAGCAAATTCCCATCATATTAATGTTATTTCTGTTGAACTCAGTGTGAAAGAAAATAGAAGGCTTAAAACTATCTGCTTGGATTCCTCTTCAAGCAAGAAGGTTTTCATGATTTGGTTTACTATTCAAATTCTACAACCTGCCAGGAAATTCTCAAGGTCAGATTGGCAGCAACTGCTGTATCTTCTGCCCAGGCTCAAGTGAGATGAAACACACACATATACTCACACACACACACTCATACACTCACATATACACATATACTCTTACACACACTGTCACACACACTCACACACATTCACACACACATACTCTAAAATGAATTTCCAACAAGTGGATTCTACTGTCTCTTTTTAAGTTGTTCTCTTTGTTCTTACCTTGTGTTCTCTTCTTTGAAATTTTCTCACAGTTGCAGTGGGCTGTGCCTCACAAAGTCTGATGTAGAACTTTGTTCTAAACATTTATTCAAATTATAACCTCAGACTTTCCTCAGGTGTTTTCCATGTCTGGGGAAGTATTCACACACACACACACACACACACACACACACACACACATACACACGCCTAAATACAGTGGAATTGGACTTCAAATCCAGTTATCCATTTATTCATTCCACAATCATTCACCAACTGTAGGTCAGACTTACCATCCAGCACTTGGGATATGAAAATGAACATGACACCCTAGAGCAAAGTCAGTCCATTGTGAAAACTCAGTGAAATTTGAGTAAAATTTGGAGTTTAGTCCATAATGTGCCAGTGTCAATTTCCTGTTTTGGTAATCATGTTGTGAGTATGTGAGATGTTAAAACTAAAGAAAGCTGAATATAAGGTCTATGAGAATTGTCTGTGTTACTTTTGCACCTTTTTGTAAGTCTAAAATTATGTCAAAGTGAAAAGCTAAAAGAAGAACACAGCCTAAACTTTATATCAATGAATTATACAGCCTAAACTTTATATCAACACAGCTTCAGAATTATTTTCAACTGAGAAATCTAATTTGCTTTGATAGATATCATCAGATTTATTAAGACAAGAAATAACTGGAGATAAAGGGTAAATGCATTTTAATATAAAAACTGGTCTATCTTTGTTTCCCAGCCCTTCTAATTATCTTTCATGATACTTTGAGGAAATAAGTATCTTCTTGAAGACTCAGTTTCCTCACCCATAAATTTGTGACAATAATATTTGAATTATATAATATATATGATGCCTGCTTCATATATAGGACAATAAATACTGGATTTGAAATGTTCACATACTTGCATAGCCTTAGTACATAGGAATTTTTTTCTCCATCTTCCTGTATCTTAACATATAGAGGGAGCACCATTATCTTCATTTTCCTGTCTCTTTCTGCCCCTAAACTTCTCCAGGGGAGCTGACTGACCTATCAGACAGCCAGGAATGAGTTGGAAATGAGAAACTGGCCACAGGGCCTATCCCTTTTTCTTCTGGTTGGAAGCCCACATCCAACTCAACTGATGGAGAGAGGTCTGCTCCAAGGGGTGAGCCGATATGTTGAGGCCTATGTTTCAAAATTAAAGCTTATCTCTGCACAAACACTTCAGTAACAGCCTTTATCACCAATCAAGGTGATTTTGTGATCCTTATATAGGCCTACGCCTTCAGTTGTGGTTCTCAGTTTAGAATTCAAGTAGGAAAGGAGATGTGTTTAATTAGGCTTCTAGAATTCCACAATAATAATCAGATACCCCCACTTATTGTATAATAAAGATACTTCAAGTACAAAACCATGAAAATAAATATTATATCCTAACTTTTTTCTCTTTTTTACTATTTGCCCTTCATTCATCTGACACAATGGTCAGAAATGAAGAATAAGCTGCTTTGCTTTGCTTGGTATCTGGCCCTAAAACCTTGCATTATCTGCTTAATGGTTTAAGCCAGGCCAGATTAGACACAGACGGAGACTCCTCTGCTGCCCACTTTAATCACCTCAGCACTCAGGGATGCGGCAAACGTCACCCGCGCTGAGGGGCTGATTTAAGGCACACGGCAAGGAGCAGACGTGCTTTCTCACATCACCTCTCATTTCATTAGAGTCCAATGAAACAGGAGTAGGAGGCGGGCCATGGCAAGTGACTTCTGTGGTTGTATTTCAACATCTTCCATTTTTTGAGCCATAATTTCTACAACAGAAAAAAAAATTAAATTCTAATGCAAAAATAGAATTTGTGTTCCAGACTGGAAATGCGATGGTGGAAATATATTCCGTCCTTTGTATTTTTAGTCAGTTGTGATTTATTCATGAACCTTGCCATGACCTAGAAGGAGCAAGGAAACAAACAAATAAACAGAACAAAGCAACAAAAACTCAAAGCGATGACATTGGAGAAACAACTGAGTTTCTAAAAACTAAAGTCAGTCACAAATCCACATATAAAAGCACATCCATCTTATCCACTGCAGCTCGAAACATTCATTCGGCCTCATTTTTTATATTAATCCTGGCTTAACACATTTGATTATGTGCTTTCCCACTTAGCAACAGAAATTGAGTGAGAAAGAAAATGCTAAAAACAGACAAAGTACGAGAGCAAGCCAGACAGCAAGAGGAATGTGAGCTGCAAGAATAACTAATACATAGGAAAACTCTCCGTAACTATTTCCTTTAGGGCAGAAATCTCAGCTATATCAAGAATTCGGAAAAGATATACATGTGTGCTCATGTGTGTATGTGTGCATGTATGTGCATGCACACATACACACTTTTTCCCCTAGTGTCTTTTAGGATGCCCCAAAGATACCAAAACTCACATATGCTCCCATCCCTTCTAGAAAATGACATAAGATCTACATATAACCTATGCATATTTTCTTGTATATGTTAAGTTGCCTGTAGCTCACTTATACTATCTACTACCATTTAGGGAATAATGACAAGGAAAAGAGTCTGTACATATTCAGTACGTGTAGAATATTTTTTGGAGCATTCTTTGTCATTGGCGGGTTGAATTCACTGATATAGAACCTGCAGGTACAGAGGGCTGACCCTGTACATGTATATCCGTGATGTACCGCATATTGTACATTACATATACCTATGTATTTGTAAGGATGCCACTGAGTGTAAGAAGAGCACTTTCACTCTCATAAGCAGGTTTCTCTTTACCGTTAAGTTAGAAGCAGGTCATGTGCAAGTTGTCTCCTAGCTACAAAACTCCTGAAGTCTGGAAATAATCATCAGTGTTCAGAAATGGGTAAGTTTCCTTATAACTGAAAAAGCCGATTCCCTGCCAGAGACAGAGTTGAGGATATTCAGTTGAACAAGGCCTTTTACAAATGTGTTTGCTTCTAACTGTCAGCACATTTTAGTTTCAATGTAAATAATACAGTGAAGAGGAGCGTGCAGTGAGGGCAGCAAGGGCCTGAGTTTGAATCTTGGCTGTGCCACTCAGCTAAATAAACAAGTTAGTTCATCACCCTAAAATTCAGTTTCATCCTCTATAAAATGGAGATGATAATTGATTATCTATCAACTATCAGGATTAATGAGACAATGCTAACTAAATATTTACCAAATAGCCATCCTCATCCTCACAGTTTTCTTCCTCACTCTCTTTGGAAACTATAGGCCCTTTTTCTTTTACAATCCAGCTGCCAAACATATGTGTAATCAAGTGCCTGATATTTATTAAAAGCAAGAATTTCTCAAGCAATACGTAGACAGAGATGCCTAAGAAGCTCTACCTTACATTACTTGCAGAAGACTGGATTTATGTTGACAATTTGATTAGAAGCAAGAACTATGTAAACTATGAAAATATATTGAGAACAAATGGAAAATGAGATTGTATCCATTCTGTCAAAATCAAAATGTCTTTTCTCTCACATTTTCTTGATGAATTTGCCTCCTTAGGTTTTTCAGAAAAACAAAAAACTGAACTGAATACTCTTCGCCAAACTAATCTTGTTTTCTGTGTAAACTAGTTCACTATGTGTGACAAAAGTAAAATGACATTTTACAAAGTAGCTTTGAGAATATCTATGGCTCAGTGTGTTCAAAAAATTTATACTTGTACTGTAAATCATTCACATTTGAGTTACTAGTAAAATTCAACAGGAAAAACTTAGTTTTCTCTTATATATGCACTTACTGAAATCTTAGCTTACTCATCTCTGTATACTCAATATCTAAAGTGCCTGGGAATAATGGATTCTAAATTTTCCAAAAAATGTGGGTGGGATGCTGAATTTTTTTGAAGCCATGGGCACATGTTTGATTTTTTCTGAGAAACTCAAAGCAAAAAGTTAAATTAAGATTTGGTCTTGAGAGATTTGAAATGCTGTCCCTTTCTTTTTATCTAACATTTGGTGGGAAAAAAATAAGCCAGAGGCAATAAAGTAGGACCAAAAAGCTTCAAGTGTTTTAGGCTAAACTATTCTTATTTTTTTATGGTTCCATTTAGTGCAGGTATTCTTCAGTTTACGTGTTAGAGGAATTTCTTCTTTCTCTGCCTTAAGGTAAATCAGTGGCCATCTAGGAGACCATCTTCCTGCTTGTAGGTGTGACACTCAAGTTGACTGTGGTGTGTAAGCTCATAAGATGAAAGGCTCTCCTGAACTACAAAACCCAGCTCTCTTTTTAAGAAGTCATAATTAGCCTTTTCTTTGGAATAGTTTTGGTGTCACTTCCATGCTTCTGATGTATT